TATATATATATATATACTGGTGAGAAGCCAAGGAAAAGAGACATCTAATTGTGCTAAGATAATAAAAAATTCAGCATCTCTAAATAAGAATCCCTACAGTCCCACTGTGTGTTGTGATATTGAGAAGCCGAAGTACAAATATCTTGTTACACTGGTGCAGGACAACTCCTCAAGCCCAGATCTACAACAAAGAAATGAGATAAAATTAGGATATACACTATAAAATAGTTCTTTAATACAAACCAAGATGATCAGCACAAGAACAAAGGAACAAAGAACTTTCTTTTCTTTACTCCTTCTGAAGGTTTGAAAGAAAAGACCACGGGGAATCTGTGACCTATGTTGCGTAATTCCCCTGCTGCTCTCAAGGGACAGACATCAAAGGATGGTGTAAAACACCTATAACCGCTGCCAGTCCCTATCATCTATAGTTAGTCCTTGATGCCAGTAAAGAGCAAAACCTGGTTATATACAGTATATTACGTAATTCACTTTCCTCAGAGGACCTGAAGTAGGCACTCACCCGCAAAGTGTTGTCCCATGATCCCGAGCAGAACGCGGTACCATCAGGTGAAACTCTGACAGTGCTGACCCGATTTTCATGGCCAAAGAGAATTGCCACTCTGGTACCTTTCAGGACATCCCAGATGTTAATGGTGTAGTCATTATGTCCTGCAAACAGCAATCGGCCTGTGGAAAAACATTATAGGAAACAAGCAAAAAAGGTTATTGTTTAGTATAATATTATGTCAAGTCATTTATTTATATAGCACTTCATACAATACAAATGTTCAAAGCAGCTTCACATTAATAAACAGGAATATAACAGAAATGTTGCAAAATTAATCAATTATAATATGAATTCAATTTCAGCTCTAAGGCAGCTCTACAGGCAATACTGCCTCGATTAGTTTAATGTTGATTCAATTTAGCTCAATAGCATTGTTGCAAAATTCATCAGTTATGATCAGCTATAAAGCAGCTCTATAGTCAGTAGAGCTGAGCAAGTCAGATTAGTGTTCATTTAGTTCAGTTCAATAACAGTGCAAAGTTCATCAATTATGAAATGAGTTCAAGTCAGCTATAAAGCAGCTCTACAGAAGGCAAAAGAGTCATTAGGGCCTTTCACACCGCGGGAACCTTTTCATAGTACCAGAACTAATTGTGGAACTACCCACTTTTTGGCGTTTTCGCACCGCCGGAACTGGGTGCGATTTTAGTACCGGACTGCCTTTTTCGAGAACCAAATTAGCTCCTACTCCGGAGCAGGGTCTAACCAGAACAATTGGTACTAATCGTGACGTAAGTAGACACTGATTGGCCAAACGCGTA